AGGGCCAGGACATCCAACTTCTTTTCATTCATAACATCAGCAATCGTCTGTTTCTTGTCATCCGCACTACATCCACGCACATTTAAGCATCCCAGTTTTATAAAGTTTTATATATATTTTTTTTTTTTTTTTTTTTCAACAAGTCGGCCGTCTCCCACCGAGGCAGGGTGACCCAAAAAAGAAAGAAAATCCCCAAAAAGAAAATACTTTCATCATTCAACACTTTCACCACACTCCCACATTATCACTGCTTTTGCAGAGGTGCTCAGAATACAACAGTTTAGAAGCATAGATACACAACATATCCCTCCAAACTGCCAATATCCCAAACCCCTCCTTTAAAGTGCAGGCATTGTACTTCCCATTTCCAGGACACAAGTCCGTCTATATGAAAATAACCGGTTTCCCTGAATCCCTTCACTAAATATTACCCTGCTCTCACTCCAACAGATCGTCAGGTCCCAAGTACCATTTGTCTCCATTCACTCCTATCTAACACGTTCATGCACGCTTGCTGGAAGTCCAAACCCCTTGCCCACAAAACCTCCTTTACCCCCTCTCTCCAACCCTTTTGAGGACGACCCCTACACCGCCTTCCTTCCCCTATAGATTTATGTGCTTTCCATGTCATTCTACTTTGATCCATTCTCTCTAAATGACCAAACCACCTCAACAACCCCTCTTCTGCGCTCTAATACTTTTATTAACTCCACACCTTTTCCTAATTTCCACACTCCGAATTTTCTGCATAATATTTACACCACACATTGCCCTTAGACAGGACATCTCCACTGCCTCCAACCGTCTCCTCGCTGCTGCATTTACCACCCAAGCTTTACACCCATATAAGAGTGTTGGTACTACTATACTTTCATACATTCCCTTCTTTGCCTCCATAGATAACGTTTTTTGACTCCACATATACCTCAACGCACCACTCACCTTTTTTCCCTCATCAATTCTATGATTAACCTCATCCTTCATAAATCCATCCGCTGACACGTCAACTCCCAAGTATCTGAAAACGTTCACTTCTTCCATACTACTCCTCCCCAATTTGATATCCAATTTTTCTTTATCTAAATCATTTGATACCCTCATCACCTTACTCTTTTCTATGTTCACTTTCAACTTTCTACCTTTACACATATTCCCAAACTCATCCACTAACCTTTGCAATTTTTCTTTAGAATCTCCCATACGCACAGTATCATCAGCAAAAGTAACTGTCTATTCCCATTTTGAATTTGATTCCCCAAAATTTAATCCCACCCCTCTCCCGAACACCCTAGCATTTACTTCCTTTACAACCCCATCTATAAATATATTAAACAACCATGGTGACATTACACATCCCTGTCTAAGACTTTTAACGGGAAGTAGTCTCCCTCTCTTCTACACACCCTAACCTGAGCCTCACTATCCTCATAAAAACTCTTTACAGCATTTAATAAGTTACCGCCTATTCCATATACTGTACTTGCAACATCTGCCACATTGCTCCTCTATCCACTCTATCATATGCCTTTCCTAAATCCATAAATGCAATAAAAACTTCCCTACCTTTATCTAAATATTGTTCACATATATGCTTCAATGTAAACACTTGATCTACACATCCCCTACCCACTCTGAAACCTCCTTGCTCATCCGCAATCCTACATTCTGTCTTACCTCTAATTCTTTCAGTTATAACCCTACCGTACACTTTTCCTGGTATACTCAGTAAACTTATTCCTCTATAAGTTTTTACAGTCTATATTGTCCCCTTTCCCTTTATATAAAGGGACTATACATGCTGTCCGCCAATCCCTAGGTACCTTCCCCTCTTTCATAGATTTATTAAACAAAAGTACCAACCACTCCAACACTGTATCCCCTCCCCTGCTTTTAACATTTCTGTCATGATCCCATCAGTTCCAGCTGCTTTACCCCCTTTCATTTTACGTAATGCCTCACGTACCTCCCCCACACTTACATTCTGCTCTTCTTCACTCCTAAAACATGGTATACCTCCCTGGCCAGTGCATGAAATTACTGCCTCTCTTACTTCCTTAACATTTAAAAGTTCCTCAAAATATTCTCGCCATCTACCTAATACCTCCATCTCCCCATCTACTAACTCCCCTACTCTGTTTTTAACTGACAAATCCATACTTTCCCTAGGCTTTCTTAACTTGTTTAACTCACTCCAAAATTTTTTCTTATTTTCATTAAAATTTCTTGACAGTATATATAGGAGGGATATGTTGTGTATCTTTATATGTGTATGCTTCTAAACTGTTGTATTCTGAGCACCTCTGCAAAAGCAGTGATAATGTGTGAGTGTGGTGAAAGTGTTGAATGATGATGAAAGTATTTTCTTTTTGGGGATTTTCTTTCTTTTTTGGGTCACCCTGCCTCGGTGGGAGACGGCCGACTTGTTGAAAAAAAAAAAATTTTTTTTTTTTTTTTTTTTTTTCAACAAGTCGGCCGTCTCCCACCGAGGCAGGGTGACCCAAAAAAGAAAGAAAATCCCCAAAAAGAAAAATACTTTCATCATTCAACACTTTCACCACACTCACACATTATCACTGTTTTTGCAGAGGTGCTCAGAATACAACAGTCTAGAAGCATACACATATAAAGATACACAACATATCCCTCCAAACTGCCAATATCCCAAACCCCTCCTTTAAAGTGCAGGCATTGTACTTCCCATTTCCAGGACTCAAGTCCGACTATATGAAAATAACCGGTTTCCCTGAATCCCTTCACTAAATATTACCCTGCTCACACTCCAACAGATCGTCAGGTCCCAAGTACCATTCGTCTCCATTCACTCCTATCTAACACGCTCACGCACGCTTGCTGGAAGTCCAAGCCCCTCGCCCACAAAACCTCCTTTACCCCCTCTCTCCAACCCTTTCGAGGACGACCCCTACCCCGCCTTCCTTCCCCTATAGATTTATATGCTTTCCATGTCATTCTACTTTGATCCATTCTCTCTAAATGACCAAACCACCTCAACAACCCCTCTTCTGCCCTCTGACTAATACTTTTATTAACTCCACACCTTCTCCTAATTTCCACACTCCGAATTTTCTGCATAATATTTACACCACACATTGCCTTAAACATGACATCTCCACTGCCTCCAACCGTCTCCTCGCTGCTGCATTTACCACCCAAGCTTCGCACCCATATAAAAGTGTTGGTACAACTATACTTTCATACATTCCCTTCTTTGCCTCCATAGAAAAAAAAAATTATATATATATACAGTGGACCCCCGGTTAACGATTTTAATCCGTGCAAGAGGGCTCATCGTTATGCGAAATAATCGTTATGCGAATGAATTTTCCCCATAAGAAATAATGGAAATCAAATTAATCCGTGCAAGACGCCCAAAAGTATGAAAAAAATATTTTTTTTTACCACATGAAATGTTAATTTTAATACACACAAACTGAAAAAGGCATGCACAATTAAATGACACTTACTTTTATTGAAGATCTGGTGATGATTGATGGGATGGGAGGAGGGGAGAGCATTATCTTCTTACTGTTTAGAAGGGGAATCCCCTTCCATTACGACTTGAGGTAGCAAGTCCTTTTCCGGGGTTACTTCCCTTCTTCTTTTAATGCCACTAGGACCAGCTTGAGAGTCACTGGACCTCTGTCGCACAACAAATCTGTCCATAGAGCTCTGTACCTCCTGTTCCTTTACGATTTGTCTAAAATGGGCCACAACATTGTCATTGAAATAGTCACCAGCACGGCTTGCAACAGCTGTGTCAGGGTGATTTTCATCTATAAAGGTTTGCAGTTCAACCCACTGTGCACACATTTCCTTAATCTTTGAAGTAGGCACAATGGATTCCACAACTGGCATAGGCTTCTCAGGGTTAGCCCCAAACCCTTCAAAATCTTTCTTAATTTCCATACTAATTCTCACCCTTTTTACCACAGGGTTGGCACTAGAAGCTTTCTTGGGGCCCATGGTCACTTATTTTCCAGAAACAGCACCGAAAACACTGTAATAATACGAAATATTCCGAGTGTATGCTTGGATGTTACCGCGGAGGCTGGCTGGTAAACAATGGGACGGCCGGCACATGTGAGGCTGGCTGAGGGCACATTGGACGCGTCTCGGACGAAAATCGGTAAGCGGGTTTTTAATCGGTATGCGCGGCAAAAATTTTGCGATAAAAGTAATCGGTATGCGGAAAAATCGCTATGTGATGCCATCGTTATGCGGGGGTCCACTGTATATATATTATAGGTAGTAGGTTGGTAGACAGCAACCGCCCAGGGAGGTACTACCGTCCTGCCAAGTGAGTGTAAAACGAAAGCCTGTAATTGTTTTACATGATGGTAGGATTGCTGGTGTCCGTTTTTCTGTCTCATGAACATGCAAGATTTCAGGTACGTCTTGCTACTTCTACTTACACTTAGGTCACACTACACATACATGTACAAGCACATATATGCACACCCCTCTGGGTTTTCTTCTATTTTCTTTCTAGTTCTTATTCTTGTTTATTTCCTCTTATCTCCATGGGGAAGTGGAACAGAATTCTTCCTCCGTAAGCCATGCGTGTTGTAAGAGGCGACTAAAATGCCGGGAGCAAGGGGCTAGTAACCTCTTCTCCTGTATATATTACTAAATGTAAAAGGAGAAACTTTCGTTTTTCCTTTTGGGCCACCCCGCCTCGGTGGGATACGGCTGGTGTGTTGAAAGAAAGATATATATATTATTATTATTATTATTATTATTATTTTTTTTTTACAAGTCGGCCGTCTCCCATCGAGGCAGAGTGACCAAAAAAAAAAAGAATGAAAATCCCCTAAAAGAAAATACTTTCATCATCATTCAACTCTTTCACCTCAGTCATACACAATAATAATAATAATAATAATAATAATAATAATAATAATTTTTTGTGTGTGTGTGTGTGTGTGTGTGTGTATCTTCGACAGTGCAATATATTTAAAGTTTCCTCATTTTTTCCATAACAGCTGTAGGAAACTCCCCAAAAGCAAAGAAAAATGAAGATGCTGACTTCGATATGTTTGCACAGTCACGAACAGCTACTTACGAAAACACTAAAACTAGGTGAGGCTATTTATTGTGCTTTATTTTCTTAGTATGTTGAAGTCTTAGCATTGTTGAGTGTTAAAAGAAGACCATGACTTGTCTAGAGGCAAAGTGCCATGAACTAACAATGCAGCATTAGGGACTTGCAAATAATGTTACCTCACTTGGTAAGTCAGAATTATCATGATAGTTGTGGAAAGTTCCACTGATTAACCCTTTAACTGTCCGATGTACTAGTACGTAGGTGGTGGTACTGTGTCTGACCTACTAGTACACAGGTGGTGGTACTTTGTCCTACGTACTAGTATGCACCATTTTGTACCCACAGATCTGTCACCTTGCCAATATTTTTTATCTCAGGACAACTCTTGGTGTCTTCCATGTATTCATACATTTGAAAAATTACAAGACTAGCAGTGTCCACATAATGTATCATGGTTCATTACTCAGGGAATGACTATGTCCAATGTCCTAGTATACCTCACTAGCAAATGTAAACAAAGGAGCCAAGAGCTCTTGTTCCACCACCAGCTTCCCTGCCAGCAAACAGTGTGTGCAAGTGATTCAAAGATGACTTATTCAGTCCAGATTTATTAAAGTTTTGTGATACTATCAGTGGAATTCAGCTATTATACTCTAAAATGATTGTAATATAAGAATTCATTATACATAGCCTTAGAAGACCAAAATAATAGAAAAAATATAATAAAATAATTATTAAGTATAGTATATACCATATGTAACTCTTGTAAAGTGAATCGCTGTTACTTTTTTCATGTTATGAGGAGTATTACACTCAGAAACAATTGTAATGTTATAAGCATTCCTTGTGAATATCCTTAGAAGACCAAAAGATAATAAAAAAAAAAAAAGTCATACTGTATACACAGTAGACCATCGTTTAACAGGGTTGTTACATTCCTGAAAATGCTGTTTTAGTTAAAACCGTGTTAGACGAACTGAAGACTTGTGGGGAAAAATAGGGTTATGTTCCTGAGATCCCCCAAAAAGTCAAACAACTTTATTTTAGACCAACAGATCTTGCAAAAATATAAGTGAATATGTAATTGTAGTTCATTGTCATGGTGTATTACTGTTTAACCTGGAGTTTACCTGGAGAGAGTTCGGGGGGTCAGCTCCCCCACGGCCCGGTCTGTGACCAGGCCTCATGGTGGATCAGGGTCTTATCAACCAGGCTGTTACTGCTGGCTGCACACAATCCAACGTATGAGCCACAGCCTGGCTGGTCAGGTACCAACTTTAGGTGCTTGTACAGTGCCTGCTTGAAGACAGCCAGGGGTCTATTGGCAATCCTCCTTATGTATGCTGGGAGGCAGTTGAACAGTCTTGGGCCCCTGACACTTATTGTGTTGTCTCTTAACATGCTAGTGACACCCCTGCTTTTCATTGGGGGGATGTTGCATCGTCTGCCGAGTCTTTTGCTTTCATAGTGAGTGATTTTCATGTGCAAGTTTGGTACTAGTCCCTCTAGGATTTTCCAGGTGTACATAATCATGTATCTCTCTTGCCTGCATTCCAGGGAGTACAGGTTCAGGAACTTCAAGCGCTCCCAGTAATTGAGGTGTTTTATCTCTGTTACGTGTGCTGTGAAGGGTCTCTGTACATTTTCTAGGTCAGCAATTTCACCTGCCTCGAAACTTGCTGTTAGTGTGCAGTAATATTCCAGCCTAGATAGAACAAGTGACCTGAAGAGTGTCATCATGGGCTTGGCCTCCCTAGTTTTGAAGGTTCTCATTATCCATCCTGTCATTTTTCTAGCAGTTGCGATTGATACAATGTTATGGTCCTTGAAGGCGAGATCCTCCGACATGATCACTCCCAGGTCTTTGACTTCAGTTTTTCGCTCTATTTTGCGGCTGGAATTTGTTTTATACTCTGATGAAGTTTTAATTTCCTCATATTTACCATATCGGAGTAATTGAAATTTCTCATTGTTGAACTTCATATTGTTTTCTGCAGCCCATTGAAAGATTTGGTTGATGTCCGCCTGGAGCCTTGCAGTGTCTGCAGTGGAAGACACTGTCATACAGATTCGGGTGTCATCTGCAAAGGAAGACACGGTGCTGTGGCTGACATCCTTGTCTATGTCAGATATGAGGATGAGAAACAAGATGGGAGCAAGTACTGTGCCTTGCGGAACGGAGCTTTTCACCGTAGCTGCCTCAGACTTTACAATAGAAATAATAGTATTTCTTACCTTAAATTGTGGGTAATGGTGTTTGTGGAGGATTGTGAAGACTGGATATGCATGGTGTGGCCCTACTGGGCTGAGGTCGATGGTTGTTGGTAGATGGTAGATGTTCTGGTACTAAAGTTGATGGTTGTATTGGAGTGTGCATAAATTCTGTAATGGATCTCTGGTCTCTTTTACCCTGCAGTACATTTTACAGCTGACAGTAAGGCATCATCAGCTGGTCTAGACCACGTTTCAAAGCACTGCTTCTAGATTTGTCAGGGTCCTCTTCAGTGAAAGTCTGCTAGTTTAGCGGCAACAAGGAACTGCTCACGTAACTGCTGCAATGTTAACTGTTTTTCTTCAGGTCCTTCTTCTGTTATGTGGCTCCTTGTATCTGTACATTGAGCTCTGCCAACATTTCCTCTGAACTTCCCAATCCAGTGGTTGTATTAGAGATGTATTTGGAAGTAAAAATACAACTTTTACATGTGGGGTCACATCCAGCAAAGCTTGTGGATGAGTGCAGGAATTATGAAGAATTAAAAGAGCCTTGAATGCAAGGTTCTTGCTGTGCAGGTAAAACTTGCTTTCAGGAATAAAGTGATGCTTAAACCAGTCAGTAAATATTTCCTCTGTCATCCATGCTGGCTGGTTTGACCTCCAAATTACTAGTAAGGTGTTTTTATCTACACCTTATAATATACGAGGATTCTTAGAGTGGTAAATAACCATTTGAAATCACCTGATGTATTACTGTAAAGGAGCAAGGTGAAGCAATCCTTTGCTATCTTGAGGCCTGGTGCACTTTTCTCTTGCTGACTGATATAAGTTCGTGTTGGCATTTTCTTCCAAAAAATATGTCTTGTCAACATTAAACACTTGATGTGGCTCATAGCCACCCTCAGAATTAATTTCCTGCAATTCAGCAGGGAAATTACTTCCTGCTGTATGATCAGCTGAAGCACTTTCAGCAGAAAACTTAATACAGTGGAACCTCAAATATCGAACTTTCTTTGGTCCAGAAGTCTGTTCGAGTGCCTTTCCCGAATGAATTTATTCCCATCAGGAATAATGTAAATTAGATTAGTCCATTTCAGACCCTTAAAAATACACTTACAAAAGCACTTACAAAAATACTTACATAATTGGTTGTGTTGGGAGCAGTTTGTTTTTTGAGGTTCCACTGTATTATGCAACTTAGTTGTGGAACCAGCCTGTGCTAAACATACACTCTTTTTCAGGCTTTCCTTCCTTATCACACACTTCTTTAAACAACTGTAAGGCCTTTTCCCTAATTAAGATGAAATTGAGTGTATCCCACAGGTGACGCACGCTCCAAATTTTTTCCTCCTCCCGCAAACTGAGCAGTGTTGAGTTAATTTTACGAAGTATTATACAAAAATGTGCCACCATTCTTCAATAGTTCTATAACGTGCCAAACAAAACCGTGTTAAACGACAGTCTACTGTATACCGATTATTCCAAGTGAAGCAATGTTTGAAGTGTTGAAACACCCTGAAACATGTCTAATATTCTAAAAAACTAGTATATATAACTAAACATTAAAAGTAGTTAAAAGAAAAAATCAAATATTAGTATCAATAATTGTAAAATGTAAACATTGCTGGCACTCTTGATGATTAGTGATCATTTTTTTTACCAACTTCAGCACACTATAAATGTGTGAGTTTTTATCAGATTTCGCTCATTTTAGTCTTATTCAGTTCAGAAAAACAAACTACTGGTTTGTAAAAAGAATTTTTTTTTTCAAAATCTTCCCATACACACACAGGAATTTTTTTCCAGGGTCTCTCACAGTTAAAGGCTTAAAAAATAATTATGAGAATAAAATGCATATTTTATACTGAGCCATGTGTGAATCTAGCTATATTAACTCTTTCAGTGTCGCGACCCCTACTCATAAATGTGCTTCCATGGTCAAAGAATTAAAAAAAAAAAAATTGTACGAAATGATCTTTTTCTGAACGTAATGAAACCAAAAGTACGGAATTTGATGGAATTATGCTCATACCAAATTAGCAGTCTCTGCAATATTTACACATTGGTAATTTCCCATAATTTACACTATTTTTGGCCAATTCCATTGTTCCAGTCGACCAGACTCGTAGCTATTTTGTTGGTATTCCTTCTATTCTGTCAGAGTACAGGTCGGCCATCACTAATCCAGCAATTAGTTATCCAGTTCCATCGGTAATCCGGCACTAATTTCATCTAGCATAATTTCAAATTGCATCATTATACTGACTCAGGAATTGTGCAGATGGTTGTAAATCCACAGCAGCAAGCCAGTGGAGGAGAAAGCAGTGATGAAAATGAGGAAGATGTAGCAGAAAGTCTATTGATAGGTTAAGTGCTTTCTAACCTAACCACTCTGTAATCCGGCAAACTCGCTAATCTGGCACACTACAGGTCCCAGTCATGCCTGATTAGTGATGGCCGACCTGTACAAGAAACCACCTTTACCTATTTCAACTACTGAGTATAGTGATTAGAAATTGGTAATTTGGCCAGTTTCACACAAAATTCAACAGTTGCCAAATTCCTAAATGACTGGAATACAGTATTGGCAAAAATCGATCATTTCAGTTACTTTGAGCTCAATTTCAAGCTACTTTCCGTCCTGAAACTAGTCAAAATCATCTCTATTTCTGTAATATATCTTCCATTCTATCAATTGAAACCAAGAATATAACCATAAAATTCATATGAAAATACACCACAAAGTCACTGTTTTAAACCAAAAACATGGTCACTTTTTTTTTCCTCTATGGTGCGCACTTGCCGCATAGACCCATTCTCTCATATCTATGCCAAAATTTACAGCTCACAGCTTATCTGAGTGAGATGAGCTATGGCATCATACTACAGGACTAATACTGGCTTCAGAGCTATGATACAATGGGAGTGACACTGAAAGGGTTAATACCCAGTAAATACTTTGTATTTTTGAAAATGAAATGCTTGGCAGTAAGTTGATATCCATTTCATACTGCTTAGTCCCCTAAAAGGGAGAGTGATGCCTTGATACTGGTAAAGGGCTTGTGATCCAAGGTAATCAATAAAGCAATATAAAGCACAGTACTTGTAAATTTCATCAGAATAATCCTAGCTAAGAGACCTAAACTATTTCACTATGTAACAGTGGCAGCACGTACCAGGACAACAGTGAGATAGATGTTTCATCTGTGTCTCTTGGCCGCACAGCACAGCTCAGACTTAATCCAGTAAGTATACCGTTCATTTGTGTTATGTTCTCCTGCATTCTAAACCATCCTCCTGTTTCTATTTCTGTAAACCCCCTCACACAGGAAATGATGTACCCTCTTATGTGCTGGTATTATCTGATCATGAATGAACTATCTGGGTGATCATTTAATAGTGCAGTAAAGCAGTGCTTATACACAAGAGCATTGTTCTATTATTGCTGTATTGATGAAAATTTAAGCTGGGAAATTGTATGATTTTTACTTGGGTTATAATTTGAATATAAACTTATAGCAGATAGTTAATTTTTGGCGAAACACTAGCTTGTTGCTGTTTTAACATTTTGCCTGTTATTCTGGTGTCCCTTCCTTCACCCCTTTTAGATTTGATTTCATACATTAATCAATGCATTACTCTTCACCTAATTTTTATCAAGTTGTTTTATACATAATTAAAATCATTAACTTTTATTGTTTGATTGGAAAAGATTTTCCCTAAACAGTAGTGAAAATTAAGTCTAGTGAAGGCAAGTGACATGTAGATTGATTTCCTGCATGCTATAAGCTACTTAAGATAGTTTATTTTTTGTACAAGTTTAGACTGTTTTAATGCATTCATTGGTATAATTATATGTTCTTAAATACAAAAAATCACATTAATTTAAAACTAGCAAAAAAAATTTTTTTTAAAGTACAATACGGTGCTGTAATACATTTTCGAGTGATCAGATTCTTAATAATTTAAATTTTATACCAGCATTTGAGCTATCATTTGTCTGTAGGGTAAATTTCCTCCATTCCCTTAATTTGGAAGTTATATGTATGCATCAAATTGTGCACCTTTATATGTTGCATTTGCAATGCAGTATTTAAATAGTGGAACTTGTTTGAAGCATGTGATGTCCTGCAAGCTACAAGGCACCTTTGCTACACATTGATTCATTCGATGTTTTGTTATTCTCTCTTTGTCACTATGGAAGAGCAGGAGCAGCTTTGGGTAAGATGCCTTTTCATTTTTTTTAAATCAAACACTAACACAATGCTATACATACAGATAAAAGCAAAGCTTGTAGATAAAATAGAAGGATTGGATATCAGATTGAAGGGTGTGAGTATGGAAGAAGTAAATGTATTTAGATATTTGACTGTGACTGTGTCAGCAGATTGATGTGTGAAAGAGGTGGTAAATAAGAATAAATGTAATAAGTGTTGAAACATATGGAAAGAAAGCTTATCATTGGTTGTAAAGGGGGGAATGTACCAGAAAAGAAGAGGAAGAGAATTTAAGCATTTCAGATGTTTGAATTAAATCGGTAATGGCTCTTTTTTTTTTTTTTTATCAGCTATGTCCTGCCAAGGCAGGGTTACTCAGAGAAGAAACACATTCACCACTATTCATTCAGTCACTTGTCAGAAGTGTGCTGACATCGCAATTCAGATTATCCTTTGAGTGCAACATCTCCACCCTCCTTAGAATGTAGGCATTTCTCTTTCCACTTCCAGGTTTCCAGTTAGCTGGTTTCCCTGAATCCCTTCATGAGTTAGCTTGCTCACACTCGACAGTATGTTTAATAAAAATCTCTTGTCCCCATTCACTATTATCTTACATGCTCTCACAAGCCTGCTGGATGCTTAAGCCCCTAAAACTCCAAGACTCTTTACCCCCTCCTCCAACCATTCCTGGAATGACTCCTATCTCCCTACCTTCCACCCTCTGCATATGTTGTACATGCCCAAACCACCTCAGCAATACCTCCTCAACTGTCTGAAAGATATCCCTGGTGACTGACATCTCCTTTTCATTTATCTTCTCCAAATTCTCTGTATAAGTCACACTACACATTTCTCTCAAACGTGACATCTCTACAGCCTCTAGCATCCTTGTTGCAGTGTCCAAAACCCATGCCATGCACCCATACAAAACTTGGTACCACAATACTCTTGGTATATTCCCTTTTTGCCTCCATAGATAAAGTTTCCACAGATGATTGAACACATCTCCCACTTTTTTTTTTCCTCTCCATATCTTGTGCATCACCTTATCTTTCATAGACCCATGAGCTGACTACTGAATTTACGAAGAAAGGGTAAAAACACGGAAATTTTTAATACACAGCTGGTGTGTTTAAAAAAAAAAGTGGTTGTGATAACTACCATCATAAAATCAGTAATGTATGTAGATATGCATAATGTATACAGAATGTATTCTGGGAAGGGATAAGCACCATCAACTGGAAGAAAAATGGTTCAAAATTATAAACTAGAGAGAAACTCAACTGGACACTAATGATGGGCACATTTAAAAGGAACATGTGCTATGGGCCCAATAAGAGGCTGTCAACATCCATGGTCTGATTATTAAACCTGCTATCAGCAGATATCAAGACTGTTGCTGAAACAAATGTAGAGGTTTTCAGGAGGAAACTGGGTCACTAACTCTACCAAATGCTAGATCAACCAGGTTGTAATGGATATGTGGGCCAGAAGGTTTCCAACAACAGCCTGGTTGAACAGGCAGTCAACAGAAACCTGGCTCTATTCTTGGCTACGAGGTCAGAAAAATTTTAAATCAGTCACTAGTATGTTACACACACAAGCTGGAAGATTGCAAATTTTTTTTTTTTTTTTTTTTTTCAACAAGTCGGCCGTCTCCCACCGAGGCAGGGTGACCCAAAAAAGAAAGAAAATCCCCAAAAAGAAAATACTTTCATCATCATTCAACACTTTCACCACACTCGCACATTATCACTGTTTTTGCAGAGGTGCTCAGAATACAACAGTCTAGAAGCATACACAATTAAAGATACACAACATATCCCTCCAAACTGCCAATATCCCAAACCCCTCCTTTAAAGTGCAGGCATTGTACTTCCCATTTCCAGGACTCAAGTCCGACTATATGAAAATAACCGGTTTCCCTGAATCCCTTCACTAAATATTACCCTGCTCACACTCCAACAGATCGTCAGGTCCCAAGTACCATTCGTCTCCATTCACTCCTATCTAACACGCTCACGCACGCTTGCTGGAAGTCCAAGCCCCTTACCCACAAAACCTCCTTTACCCCTCTCTCCAACCCTTTCGAGGACGACCCCTACCCCGCCTTCCTTCCCCTATAGATTTATATGCTTTCCATGTCATTCTACTTTGATCCATTCTCTCTAAATGACCAAACCACCTCAACAACCCCTCTTCTGCCCTCTGACTAATACTTTTATTAACTCCACACCTTCTCCTAATTTCCACACTCCGAATTTTCTGCATAATATTTACACCACACATTGCCCTTAAACAGGACATCTCCACTGCCTCCAACCGTCTCCTCGCTGCTGCATTTACCACCCAAGCTTCACACCCATATAAGAGTGTTGGTACTACTATACTTTCATACATTCCCTTCTTTGCCTCCATAGATAACGTTTTTTGACTCCACATATACCTCAACGCACCACTCACCTTTTTTCCCTCATCAATTCTATGATTAACCTCATCCTTCATAAATCCATCCGCCGACACGTCAACTCCCAAGTATCTGAAAACATTCACTTCTTCCATACTCCTCCTCCCAATTTGATATCCAATTTTTCTTTATCTAAATCATTTGACACCCTCATCACCTTACTCTTTTCTATGTTCACTTTCAACTTTCTACCTTTACACACATTCCCAAACTCATCCACTAACCTTTGCAATTTTCTTTAGAATCTCCCATAAGCACAGTATCATCAGCAAAAAGTAACTGTGTCAATTCCCATTTTGAATTTGATTCCCATAATTTAATCCCACCCCTCTCCCAAACACCCTAGCATTTACTTCCTTAACAACCCCATCTATAAATATATTAAACAACCATGGTGACATTACACATCCCTGTCTAAGACCTACTTTTACCGGGAAATAGTCTCCCTCTCTTCTACACACCCTAACCTGAGCCTCACTATCTTCATAAAAACTCTTTACAGCATTTAATAACTTACCACCTATTCCATATACTTGCAACATCTGCCACATTGCTCTCTATCCACTCTATCATATGCCTTTTCTAAATCCATAAATGCAATAAAAACTTCCCTACCTTTATCTAAATACTGTTCACATATATGCTTCAATGTAAACACTTGATCTACACATCCCCTACCCACTCTGAAACCTCCTTGCTCATCCGCAATCCTACATTCTGTCTTACCTCTAATTCTTTCAATTATAACCCTACCGTACACTTTTCCTGGTATACTCAGTAAGCTTATTCCTCTATAATTTTTACAGTCTCTTTTGTCCCCTTTCCCTTTATATAAAGGGACTATACATGCTCTCCGCCAATCCCTAGGTACCTTCCCCTCTTTCATACATTTATTGAACAAAAGTACCAACCACTCCAACACTATATCCCCCCCCTGCTTTTAACATTTCTGTCATGATCCCATCAGTACCAGCTGCTTTACCCCCCTTTCATTTTACGTAATGCTCGCGTACCTCCCCACACTTACATTCTGCTCTTCTTCACTCCTAAAAGATGGTATACCTCCCTGACCAGTGCATGAAATTACTGCCTCTGTTTCTTCCTTAACATTTAAAGTTCCTCAAAATATTCTCGCCATCTACCTAATACCTCCATCTCCCCATCTACTAACTCCCCTACTCTGTTTTTAACTGACAAATCCATATTTTCCCTTGGCTTTCTTAACTTGTTTAACTCACTCCAAAATTTTTTCTTATTTTCATTAAAATTTCTTGACAGTGCCTCTCCCACTCTATCATCTGCTCTCCTTTTGCACTCTCTCACCACTCTCTTTACCTTTCTTTTACTCTCCATATATTCTGCTCTTCTTATAACACTTCTGCTTTGTAAAAACCTCTCATAAGCTACCTTTTTCTCTTTTATCACACCCTTTACTTCATTCATTCCACCAATCACTCCTCTTTCCTCCTGCACCCACCCTCCTATAACCACAAACTTCTGCCCCACATTCTAATACTGCATTTTTAAAACTATTCCAACCCTCTTCAACCCCCCATTACTC